GCAACGCTGAAAGACATGGGTGTTTCCTCTGGAGTGGCACAGCTCATAGTGTGAGAGCAATGCTGACTGAGTACCACCATTCGTGTTTTTGTGTGTGTGTGTGTGTGTGTGTGTGTGAGAGAGAGAGAGAGAGAGAGAGTGCTGCCATGGCAACGCTGAAAGACGTGTGTTTCCTCTGGAGTGGCACAGCTCATAGTGTGAGAGCAATGCTGACTGTGAGCACCCCCACTTGTTTTTGTGTGTGTGTGTGTGTGTGTGTGTGTGAGAGAGAGAGAGAGAGAGAGAGAGAGAGAGAGAGAGAGAGAGTGTGTGTGAGGCAGCTTTAGTCTACATTATAGGGACCAAATGTCCTGACAAGAATAATAAAAGCTGATATTACCTACAGGGAAACAGCTAGTGGAGGAAATTTGCTTAATAAACATGCAAAGTAAAGAAAATGTAAAAGATGAAAATGTGTGAGGGATAGATTTTGATATAGAAAATGTCATTGACAAGTCAATGAAATGTACGCTATGCATTTAAACCTGTTTTATGTGCTCTATTAATGTGTGTAACGTCATGAGGACATATGGGTTTCATTACAGATCGGTTGTTATGATTTATCAGTGGGTGAGTTGTGTTTTGTAGATGAATATGTGTCTAATGCTGGTTCTGGATATGTACTGTGTGTGTGTGTGTGTGTGTGTGTGTGTGTGTGTGTGTGTGGGGGTGTGTGTGTGTGTCTGTTTATGGCTATAATTTATATAACATGGGAGGGTAGCTTTATCTCAGAAATGGATTTCTTAAGACACTTACACATCCGTCTAAATACAAGACTCTGAGCCAAGCTTGTTTTAAAAAGATCTGTGAGATTTATGAAATTAAAAGTGCACAAATAAACCACAGCAGTTTCATACAGAGTCACATACACGTGCTTGAGAAATGAGCATATTTTGCAGACATTAGGGAAATCTCTCACAGTTTTTCTCTCGTTTAATTGCAGTCGTTTGCTGTAAACGCCATTTGCATAATCATCTCATTCCATACATGCAGAGCGTAAATACTGACCTCGTGAGGAAGAGGAGGTGGCAGTGTGGATTTAAGCATGGAGAGATTTTGACATGTGACCAGGAATGAGATCAGTGTGTCAGCTTCACACCGCTCAAACGGTGCCTGGCAAAAGCTGTCAAACAACATCAGAGCTGTGAGCTGCAATTCCCTCCGCCAGCTTTGAATTTCTGGTGCCCCAGCCTCTTGTGCACATTTTGCCTGTGGTATATTTTCAGAGTTTGACTTGGGGGGTTTTCACAGGCCGCTGATGTTTTGCATGGGTTTAGGAATTATCTGAAAACTGGGAGGGAGACATCAACATTATTAGCTTGACTCATGAATATTAATTAGGTGATTAACTGATTTGCTTAAAATGCAAATACTTTAAGTGGGCACGGGCTATATAAGGATTACTATGCATTAATTGTGTTTTCATTCATTCTGCTGATACAGCCATTTGGCAAAGACTTCTGCTTGAGCTTAAAGCCTTTTTTTTTTTGTACACTGCCGGCTATTTTTTTCTTTGCTGTGTGGCCGAGCAAAGCCTTTTAAATATATGATTATTGCTCAAAAACTGTAGGTCCCTGTATCTCTGTATAAATGTGCTTATGTAAATCAAGAGAATATTATGTTAAATAATAAATGTTACAATTAAATTTAAAAAATACATTCAAATATGAATATATGAAAATATATTAATTTTATTTCTAATCTTTTAATCATCATATATTTTAATCATTATGTAACATGCAAAAGTTTATAGTTACCAGTGTTATTTTAGTATAATTTATATACTATTATAATTACCTTTTTTACATTTTCAGTTTCATTTTAGTTTTGCTTTAAGTTTTAGTCATTTTATGCATTTGTCATTTTTAGTTTGTATTTTATTAAATATTTCAATTTAGCTTTACTTTATTTTTTTTATTTTTTTTTTATTTTAGTCAATTTAGTGCTTCAACTTAAACTTATTTTCTTTTATTTGCAAAAGCAAAATTTCTAATGTTTAAATTTTTTAGGTTTTAGTTCATCTCTAATAAAATAGTTAATCTATTTTATTTTAGACATTAAATCGTTTTTCATCTATTTTATTTCATCTTTTGTCAGTGTAACGTAAGTGTAAGGTGTGTCACGTTTACTGCAGCATTCTTCAGTGTTTCAATTATCAAGCACTTATTAAATCACAATATGGAGACTACTGAAATTACTAATCAAAGACATCATTTAGTATTGAATCATCCATTCTATTTTCTAAGATAAATGTACTTCAGTATGCGTTCGCATTTGATTATCTTGTTATTTGGCAGTTGTAAATATGGCATGCTGTATTTGTCAGAATATGTATCGTGTATTTAAGGGTAATTAGCTAATATGAATTATGAGACTGAATAAATAGCAGACACAACACATCAGCATCTTCATCAGACCAGTTTAGCACTAACTCAACACACTTCGGCAGGTCCTGTCGTGAATCATTTTCACGGTGTAGCCTGGTCACGCTGAATATTGATTTACCAGCGTCATTACATTATAATACTGCTGTGTACTAAACCATTCAGCGAATAAATTTCCCATCTTACACTAGGTGCTTACATAGCTTTCTGTACACAGCTATATTTGTAAACACATTTCACACAATGAAAATGAAAAATAACACGAATAAGAGTCTCAGGTTGATAAATCAATCTCAATAGACCTGTTGACTATCCAGGCCACCCCCTATCAAAGTGGATTCCCCATGTACACGGTTACCCTGGTCTTTACTCCAGCAGAGAGAGAGGATTATGCCGCCCGGCTGCCAGGAACTCAGGGGAGAGCAGCCCTGGTTTTGTTTATGCCTTCTAGGCCTGCAGGTAGACCTTCTAGAACTCCCTCAGAGATGTTAAACTGATCTCATATGCCTGCCTGAGCTTCATTCAGGTCATGCGATTAGAGCCCAACCCCAAAGGTCTGGTTTAAAAAATATTCTTGTCGCATGGTGTTCTGGATTCAGGATTTGGCCAGGGGTGAAATTGTTCTTCCTTTTTTTAACCTTGTGAAATTGAAATTTGTTACCAGTGATATCTCAGTACAGCCCTTGAAGGATAAAATGAAATATTCGTTATGCTCTTTCTGTTAAATATATACATTTATTCGCTCTTTTGACAATCACTGCACATTCACAGGGTTCACAGGTTCTTGCCTTTTCATATTTCTGTTTGTTGCCATCTCGTCAGCCTTTCATCTCACCGGGTTCCGCCTTCCTCCCAGCTTAAGTGATTAAACCGTGCGTTTGTTTTTGTTTACGTGTTTTATCTGAGCAGCTTTGCCTGTTCCACCACACATATCGAACAACTACTTTCCCTGGAACCTTTTTCACACACTGTTTCTTGTTGTACGCTGCTTAGACTCACTTGAGCGAGAGAGGGATTCCTTGGGGATTTGGGCAAATCTGGGTTTTGTTTTTTTTTTCACCTTTTTTTTTTTTCATTATTATTGGTTAAAGTGCAATTACAGTAATAAAATGAGTGCTCTCATCACCATTAATCACTGGCAATTAATATGCATATATTCATTTAACATACTGGCAACTTTCTAAAAGTGCGATTAATGTGCTGCTGGTGAGTCGCATTGTGGTGGGCTTTATCTCGTTTCAGCACATTTCACTAAGAGTTTATAGCTGAGTGGAGACGGAGAGCAGTGTATCAAACAGACTAGACCTCTGACCACTGTAAGCATCAATGTGTGCATGAAGAAGCTACACGCAGGCCAGCGTTTGTAATGCGGTTAGGATATAGAAAATGTTCAGTGCTCCTCAGAATGGGATTTGATTTTTTTGAATGAATACACCTGATAAACTCATAATGGATCTCCATTTGAGCATGTGATTTCCATTAGTTTCTCTGAATTGTTTTAGCAAAACAGATACAAAATATTCAGCTCTTCCTGAATAAAATCCTGGCTGATAAACTGATAATTATGTTCAGGTTATGGCTGATAACCAATAAATGACTAAAATGGCTGATTTCTGAAGGAAAGTGACTGTGAAGCCTGGAGTAATGGCTAATAAAAATTCAGCGCAGGAATAAATTACATTTTAAATGTATTAAAGTAGAATAAATAAATTTTTAATTGTAATAGTATTTCAAAATATTGCTGTTTTACTGTAGTTTTGATCAAATAAATGCAGACTTTCAAAAATTGTCCCGAACCCAAACTTTTGAACCGTAGTGCAAATTAAAAATAAAAACTTAAAACTAAAATCTATCTTTTAAATGCTGTATAAGTGAATTTAGACATTATAGTATTATATGTATACTTCAAAAATATGGATATACATTTTTACATTTGCTAAGGATTTACATGTTTCATTTTGCACAGTACATCTATTGTTTTATATGTGACCCTGGACAACAAAACCAGTCATAAGGGTCAATATTTTGAAATTGAGATTTATACATCATCTGAAAGCTGTATAATTATAAATAAATAAGCTTTCCATTGATGTATGGTTTGTTAGGATAGGACAATACTATTTGAACTATTTGAAAATCTGGAATCTGAGGGTGCAAAAAAATCTAAATATTGAGAAAGTCACCTTTAATGTTGTCCAAATGAAGTTCTTAGCAACGCGTATTACTAATTAAAAATTAAGTTTTGATATATTTATGGTAGGAAATTTGCAAAATATCTTCATGGAACATGATTTTTACTTAATATCCTAATGATGTTTGGCATAAAAAGCAAAATCAATAATTTTGACCTATACAATGTATTGTTGGCTATTGCTAAAAATATACCCGTGCTACTTATGACTGGTTTTGTGGTCCAGGGTCACATATTTGTAAACCAAGAGTGTGTTTTGCACTATGTTTTTTTTTAAATAAATGCTACTTGGTTTGATGTTTGGTTTTATAATACACATGTGTTTTATGTGTACATAAGTTTACTTATTGAAGCCACTATATATGTATGTAATTGCGTTTCCACAGGTCTCTCTCTGGCCGTATCGTGGGTGGTGTGTGGTGGTTCTTCACTCTGATCATCATCTCCTCATACACAGCCAACCTAGCTGCTTTTCTCACAGTAGAGAGGATGGTGTCACCCATCGAGAGTGCAGAGGATCTGGCCAAACAGACTGAGATTGCTTATGGGACTCTAGATGCCGGCTCCACCAAAGAGTTCTTCAGGGTAAGAGGAGACATGAAGTGTTAACCTAAAAAAAAAGGATATTTGTAAATGTATAATATTTCACTTTCTTTCCTCATTTAGAGATCAAAGATCGCAGTCTTTGAGAAGATGTGGTCTTATATGAAATCTGCAGACCCCTCAGTGTTTGTGAAAACCACAGATGAAGGAGTTATACGGGTGAGGAAATCCAAAGGGAAGTATGCCTACCTCCTGGAGTCCACAATGAACGAGTACATCGAGCAGCGCAAACCCTGTGACACTATGAAGGTCGGAGGGAACCTGGACTCCAAAGGCTACGGCATCGCCACCCCCAAAGGATCCCCTCTCAGGTAAAGCCAGCTGTCCACTGTATGCTAACTGTATGGATTTAACCATTGCTTAACTAACTTCTGATGGTGATTCAGTTGTGGTAGAGGCTGGATACAGTACTATAGGGGTTATGGGTGACTATCCATTTTCATACTGCATTTCGTAAGCTTGCAAGCCAGTTCTGAGTACTAGGTTATAAAGGACACAGCAGACTAATGCAATCTGGCATACTTTACTGAATCTGTACAGCATTACTCTATCACTGCAGTCCTGACATCTAAATCAGCTCTTTAAAATGCCAAGTGTGCTTGAGTACACTGCATAGTCTATATGTGCTCTTCTCCATCATTTGATTAATTTTTGCTGACACGATTGCAGGCAAATATTGCTGAGTTTTGCAAACAAGACACATTCTATAATAAGCTTAATTTACATAGAAAAACAACGCATTTGTGCTGAGAATGACTTACTGCGCAGCGCTAAATTTAACACCTGGATGGTTTATGCGGGTGGTTTATGAATAAGATGCAGGCTTTTGCCAAAGTGATGCGGCTGTTCAGTGAACTTGCCTGGTTTCTCTTTTTTGAAGGACTTTTTAATGGCTATATGTGACATCATTAAATAAGCCATCCTTTGAACCAAAGGCGAGGGTGGAAGTACTGTACTAAGCAGCCTCTGCTATAACAGAAGATGCTGTTGTGTGGGTGTACATACTTGTGTGGAGCTGTTCAAAATCCCGCCCGTACCTCATGTTGCTTGAAGGGGTTTTCAGCACACTCCACCAGAAGTGCTTGCATAAGAAACGGCAGGAAAATGATGTGCCCTCTTCAGAAGCTCTTTAGGAAACACGTGTGTTCGCTGTTCTTTCATTAAACAGCAGCTCCGCTTAGCAGAGCCCATTGAGACAGGCTCTTTGAAGCTATAGGTTAACCGAATGCTAATTTCACTTTCCTCCTTCATTACGAATTACGAAAGCTCACAGAGTCTCCTCACAGAGTGACTTGCGCATGAGAGAAATTTGGCAATCAGTTGTTATTCTTATGCAAGCCACTTCTGAAGATGAATGTCGACATTAACACTTTCTTTTATATTCTCTGCAATATAAGGTGAACGGTTGTTATTTCAATTGTTCGCCACCATCATTAACGTCACATTTTTTTGTGCTTGAACATACCCATCTGACTACACCATGGCCCACATGATATTACATTCATTGCAGTGCAAAGGGCCTCACAAGGGCAATTTGGAGCTGTTGAAATAACCTCAATAACTTAAGCTCCTTGGGGAAACGACCTCATAGCAATTGTACAGTCATTTTTTTGGGTCACCTTATAGCAAAGCGAACAGGGGGAGCGCGTGGATGGAGTGGGAGAGAGACATCAGATACAAGATGTAAATGACTGACTTCCATCTGGCCACCTAGGGCAGGACTCAAATTAAATTCAATACTAGCTAGCCATTACTGTGACAGCAAGAGTGAAAGAGGCTTGGAAATGAATTCATGAATGTGTTTCTCTCTCTAGTGAGTTACCAGCTGTGCAGTGTATATTTGATTTTGAGAGAGAGCGACTCCCATACTGACACGTGTTTACATGTACCGGTATATGCTATATGGGCATCTACTGTGTGACTTCATCACGTGGAAGCCAATGGGAGAATTTGCTCTCTCTGTCAAAATTGGTCGACACTGAGAATCTTATGTGAACATCTAGATTGAGTTATGATTTGCTGGACTAAACATGTGCTGCAGTTGTCAAAATATACCATAATGCTCTATGCATTTTCACTAAATTTAGCTTTTTTTTGGCCGCAAATTTTTTTACACTGTCAATTAACTTTATTATTTATAGACATCTGGCACAGATCAAATATTGTTAGGTGCAAAAACGCCTAACTTTTTAGCATCTTATTGATGTATAAACTTAAAATACTTTAAAATAATTTAATTCCCTAATCTGTGAAAAAATACATCGATTTGTACATTATTTCTTTGAGATTTTAAGATTTTAAGATTAGAAATCTCTAAAAATCAGATTGACAAAACTTTCAACTGTTCAACTTAATTCATTTTTAAAATGTAGTTAAATTGATTATAAAAATAAATAAAACGATAAATAATTTTTAAATGCAACATTTAAATTGCATTTTAAAGCATCTTCTTGGTTAATGTAGAATAGTTTAAAAAATTGGATGTGAGATCTGTACATGAGCCATTACAATGTAAATGTAGCTTTAATGACACTGATCATAGCCTTTAATAAAAATCTTTTTACACCTCACTATCTGATGTTACGGTCTGCTAGCCTCATCATGCTTTAATGAACAATTTCTTAACTAAGATGATGTTAATTGAGCTTTTGAACTTGCTTTACTTTTTACTTCACTTTCTGTTTTATGGGTTAATTTACTGACTGAAGAAATAATCAGTTGTTTTGGTGCATTTCGACAGCTGTTCCACATTTTCCTTGTCTTATCTCCAACTGATACCTTAAATCGGTTTGTTTTTCAGTCAAGATGCGACAGCCCTAAAGACTGATGTGTGTGCCCTTTTATCTCTATCCATCTGTGCCCATTCTCTGAGTTTAGTCAATAAAATCATCTCACCATAAGCACTGCCACCTCCTGAAGCAAATGCTCATCCAACTGAATGTAGCTGTTTGTTCCTCATTCCTGAGACACTCTATGACTTCTTTCTGTCTGGTACTTCTGGGATTAGAAAGAATTCCTGGGTTTTATCAAGCCAGACAATCACTCTCCTACACATACAGAGCTGCACACGACATTTGCTCGCGACGCAGATTGGCCAGTCGGTTACATGGGTCGTGAGGAGATGTACGTTTGTGAACTGTATAGGGTGTTCAAGACCTGAGAATGAAAGAGTAGATGAAAAGAGATGAAGAGATAGACGCTTTATAGATGTGGTTCCACATATCAGTCATGTGGGGCAGTGGGATTAAAATCAAAAAATTAAAAAAAAACGTGTTGGTCAAATAATGGTATTGCTTCTTTGAAGCTAAGACAACTTTAGTATAATGTTCATGCTGCTCCTTTTAAAACAATGAAAGTAAATGGTGACCAAGCTCCAAAACTGACAAAAATCACGATAAATGTAGTCCATGTGACATGCATCTAATAAATTATTCATTCAAGAACGTTGTGCTAGTTTACTGCAACGATGGCGATGTGAACTTGACATTCCTTTGAAAATCCAGTGTTTAGTTGATCCTGATAAGCGCTTATTGTCACAATTTTAAACACAGCCGCTTTCTTCTTAAGAAGGTCCATGGGCATGACGTCTGAGGCTAAAAATACCTCTAATGCAATACTCCAGGTTCTAAAGCACATTTGGTTACATTTCATTTTGATGGTCCCCTTTAGACATTCTGTTGACTACTGTATATAAGTAACTCTGAAACTACATTTCAACTAACTCTCATTAGAGTATTAATAGTGTTAGTAGACTTTAAGGTTAGGGTTAGTAGAACAAGTCAACATGTACTTACAGGGTTACTTTTAGTCAGTTTTGGGGATCATCAAAATAAAGTGTTAGCAGATATTAAGCAGACAGTCACACTCACATTCGCACTCCTCAAAAATGACACGTTCATGTCATATATGAATGACAGACATGGATTGTATTGCATGTTAACTTGTTATTAACTTGTTAAAATCCACATTTTATACTAACAAGAAACTATCCTAGTTTTGAGAGCTGTAGTTCAAACCATTTGCACAAATGAGATTTGTGACAACGCACAACTTCTGAAGACTTGGAATATAGTGCACAGTATGAACTACTGTTGTGGTGCTTTTTGTATTTCGACAGCCCTTGGTCACCATTCGCTTCCATTGTGTGCGTGAACATTCTGCCTAACATATCCTGCTGTATTTGACGAATCAAAGAAAGAAAGAGTTTGGTCTAAGTGTGAGTTTTTATTTTGGAATGAACTATCTCTTTAAGAATTAATCTAATGTCTCCAGGCTGTTGTTTTCGATTCACATTGTTACATTCCCCAAAAGGGAAGAGCCAAAAGTGGACACTAAACACTAACGACATCTGCTTTTCTCCTCTATCTAAAGAAGTCTTGTTCCTGGCTTTATAAAACCTGTCTTTCACAAAGGCCACTAACAAATGCATTGTTTTCCATTAATACACGTGTTAACATACTTTATATACAGACTCAGGGCAAAACCACTGCGAATGCCATGTATTTAACATTCCAACCTACATAGAGCAGTGGCTGTTGTGTTCAAACCATTCTGAATCTGTTCTCCCATCACGCTGTCTCTGAAATGGTTTATCTGGGCTGACACTGACCAAAATATTATTTCGTTATCGTTTCAAGAAACCCAGTAAACCTGGCAGTGTTAAAACTGAATGAACAAGGCCTGTTGGACAAATTGAAAAACAAATGGTGGTACGACAAGGGAGAGTGTGGCAGCGGAGGAGGTGATTCCAAGGTCAGCCCCAATGTGACAAACCCAGCGGGTAAAACCACCACTACCATGGGGGGTAACCGGCAACTCACGCCGACTAAACACTCTAGACCAAAACAATCTGTCCTAAACTGAACTTACTACTTACAAATTTTGGCTGACTAATAAATAGAAAGTAAATTTTTAACAAATTATCGCATATCATGGCAACTGGTCAATAATAGCTGACCACGTTCACGTTATTCCAAGCGGAGTGTTTGCGGTCTGCCGGTTACCCAAAGTGATATAATAATACACATCTTGCAGCAGGGAGCAAGGAAGGATCGCTAGATGGAGTATTAACCCATATCACTTTTACAATGAACTACCAACATGTTTCTGATATGTGTGCAGTCAATTAAAAAAGAAAAAGAAACAGAACAGTTAAGTTGATATTGATGGGTATGTGTTTAATGTGTGCTGAATAACATAAAATAACATGGGTAATGTTATTTATGTTATTTTCCTGGTTGAAGAATCCCAGTTAACCTAGCGGTGTTGAAACTCAGTGAGCAAGCCGTCTTAGACAAACTGAAAAACAAATGGTGGTACGATAAGGGGGAGTGTGGAAGCAAGGACTCCGGAAGAAAGGTCAGTTCACATATTTGGTCCTGCTCTGTTCCCTTCAGTTTAGCCCTCTCAGTACCCTTCCAGAAGGTTCAGTTAGGAATCTGGACATGGGCGGCTCTTACTCTCTCTCTCCAGGGTTGTATTCTTTCCTTTGGGAAGCCAGAGGACACATTTTGGTAGTAGAAACTGCATTTTTGCTTTATTAAAATTTTGTTATTTTATTACATTTTGTGTGAAAACATGTTATGCTGATTTGGTGCTAAAGAAACATAATATTATCCATTTTGGAAATAGTTATGCTGCTTAATATTTATTTTATTTTTGTATTTATTTGTAATTTTTTACAAAGCATTAACAACGAGCTTAATGCAATTGCAAAATTCTCCCACAATGAATCAAAATGAAAATATATCAAATATAATAATAAACAGAATAATAATAAATAGCATACAAAATAAGTAAATAAATAAACTTTAGCACTGTACACATTTAAAAATGAGCATATCCATTAGATAGATAGATAGATAGATAGATAGATAGATAGTTAGTTAGTTAGTTAGTTAGATAGATAGATAGATAGATAGATGAAGTTCAAAAAAGTTTGGTCAAAATAGATTTATTTGAAATAGAAATCTTTTGTACCATTATAAAAGTCTTTACTGTCACTTTTATGATAAATTGAATGCATCCTTGCTGTAAAAATTTACCAATTTCTTAAACTGAAGAGGTAGTATATTAGTATACTATTCAGAACGTTTCCAACCATTATTTTGTACTGTCATAAATTACAGACTTTAGGTGTATGTTTATAATAGATTTAGACATTTTGGCAGCATGGTTAAATAGATGTGTTTTTATATATATATATATATATATATATATGCTGACAGTTGTTTTTCCATTTACCTTTTGCATATACAGTATATACACACCTTAAATATGATGCATTTTATATTATTAATTCAAGTGTAAATAATAGTATGTCTAGCTCTAGGAGCCGTGAAGAGAAAGGCCATTATTATAGACTGGATGACTCACTGTATAATACACTCACTTTGTTTAAAATAGCCTGGTGGTCTGAATGGAGCTCTGGAGAGAGACTGGTCGTATTGCTCTGATCATCCGTAAGAGTCAAGCCTCCCTTGTGGTCCTCAGCCTCTGTGTTCTCCCTCCTGTCTGCCCTTGGAGTGTGCATGTATTTGGATGCAAACCCAGTGGACAGCTGTCTGTGCTGTCATAGGCCCCGGCCGACACACACCCCCACCACACCAAAACCCACCTGCATGGCACACACAGACGAAACCACACCTCTCTTATGGGCCTTTCTTAGAGAACCGGTTCCACACCAAGACTGTTATTATATCACCTTTGATTAAGTACAAATCCAAATCTCCTTAGATTAATGACCTGGGCTGCATGGGTGCCAACCTCTAATATCGTCATGTGCAGCTGTGATATTGTATGTGATTGTTTAGTAGCTTGTAAATTAGTGAAGATGCTAATTAGCAGGTTGAATAAGTGAAAAATTAGTCGAAGGTGGACACAGACTGCCAGTGTTAGTGCATGAATGCATGTTCGTAATTGTAAATTAAATTTAACAAATTTAAATTTCATGTTCCTAATTTTAAATTAAATTTGACAGTTTAAATTTTAAATGACAATTTGTGCAATATTTTAACATGCGTTTAACCTATAGTAATTATACCAGTCATTTTTATATAATTGTATTAACATTATATAACTGTATGTACTAGTTAATATTATAATAGCATTTAGTAATAATGTTGAATGATATTATTAGTATTTAATACTAGTATTTATTATTAAAATTATATTAGTTACATAAGTTAACATAATTGGATTTTCATAATGAATATTTCTTTATGAATATCATTTAGCAATAATGCAAGTTCAGCAGTCCAAAACAGAAAATAAATATTTAAATTCATCAATATTCATGATATTTTATACTCAGATGAGCAGGAAACATTTTAAGCAAATGATTATAGCACTACATTTGGTGCCACAGTATTTTTTGCGCTTTATTCAAGATAGTTCTCATTTTAGCTTTTATATTCACTGTATATGTTTAGATTGTTGAATGAATGCATAAATGTGTATATGTAATGTATAGGAATGCTTCAATTGTCTTCGTCCGTGTGAATTTGTTACAATTTTATCCAGTAACTCTCATCTAAGACATTTTTCCTTCTCCTGTAGGACAAGACCAGTGCTCTTAGCCTCAGCAATGTGGCTGGGGTTTTCTACATTCTGATCGGTGGTCTGGGTCTGGCCATGCTGGTGGCCCTGGTGGAGTTCTGCTACAAGTCCAGAACAGAGTCCCACAGAATGAAGGTGTCTGAGCGGGCCGCTCAGGCCTTTCACTGCACCACCTTAGACAGCAGCTACACTGAGCTGCAGGGTTACGGCCTGTACGGTGCCGACACTGTTAAGATATAAAGCACTCTGGGGTAGGAACCTCGAGTACTGCAGAGAACTAGGCCACATCCTGCCCACGTAGCAGCCTAACCTGCCCCCCATCTAACCGTTTCCAGATTCAAAGCTTCTGCTGCCCACTTTCAATATCATCCGTTTCTCTTCACCTCTTCTTTTTCTGTCTCTTACACTTCTATTTTAATAGTAGGGCTGTCAAAAATGTAAATAAATAAAACATTAATTATAAAATAATTAAAATAAATATTTTAATATGATTATTTAATAATGTTAATCAAAATATATTTGCTAAAAATGTCCCCAAATGTAATATATTATTAAATTTAATAGACAATATTTTATGAATGTTTTAATATTTATTGTAAGTAATTATTTTTTAATTAATATATTAAAAATAGTTTTTATTATTTTATCATTTATTTTTAATAGTTAGTGTATGCAAACATGCAGACTACATCTTGACAGCCCTATTAAATACTCTAATTTAATCTCTCATTATTTCTTTCTATCCCTCTATTTCCTTCTCCCTCAGTTTCCTGTTGTCCACTAGCCGCTCTGTCCATAGACTAGAGCTTTGTTTATACACATCGTGTCTCTGTTCATTCATGAAACAGAGCAAGTGTTCCCCGGAGACCCTGCAGGTCTCTGTTTTCCACCATGACTCCAAAAATAGTCAGTCTACACTCATGATTATGCATCAGTCAGCTCGTGAGTGCTCCTTTATACAATAAGACCCATGTCAGATCTTACCTAACGTACTTTTGCTAATGCATAGTTGATTAAAAGTATCTATCATAAACAAGCAATCTACAAGCCTATGGAAGCCTGTTTCCACAGTGGATTTAAAAAAAAAAGGTAACTGCGACTTTTTAACTGACTATTCTGAATTTTTCTCAGAATTCAGAATTGACATACTACATCTATTTTTTATCCTATGGCAAAAACAAGCTTCCCTAACAGGCCAGACTGACAGATCAAAGAAACCCCACTGCAAAAAAAAGGTCCCCAATAAATGTAATCTGTTGCACATATAGATCACACCTCAGTGTGATTTTTGTAATAAGTATCTTTATGACAGACAATTACCCAAAGTAGGATTTGTAACAAGTTTAGCTGGGTATTACACACTCGTGTAATATTATAATAGCAAAGGTTAATATAGATTTGCTTTGTTAATTAAATTGACAGAAGTCACATTTCACAGCTGTTCATTTTTCATATTAGGCGAGCAGGAATCTGAGTCATTATAGGCGAACTAATTAGTCTGCATCAGGCGTATAACTTCATCCCCCAACGCGCTGAAGTGTAGGGCAATGAAATCATTCCTAGATTGGAAAAATGCGATTTAAAGGGACACATCATTAGCCTTGGTTTCAGGCCCACTAGCTGCGACTACAATCGCGGATTGCTCTTCACAACAGCAGCAATAAAACGATGACATTTCTCACTTCCACACCACCGTAGCAAATTAAGCTTGTGTTACATGCCTATCAAGACTGTTTATTGTCTACCCACGTCAGAGATGCTTTACAGTGTCAGCTTTGGTTTTGAGGGCCTAAATACAGTGGTCCTGGGGGGCACAATGCAACAGCATTAGCCAAGCAATTAAAACTTGACAACACAACAGCATTAGCCCACAACACATCTTTAATGCAAATACGGGTCGTTCCCATAGCTTTGAACACAAGTGCTAAATACAGTTATGGGTAGTAAAGCAAGGAATTGCAACCCGAGCTCATTGGAAAAATGTGCCTGTGGTGACATTTCTACTAAATATTTTGCAGCTTCTTGCATGTTTTGCGTCACTTTTAAAGTGAAATGTCCAGTGAGTGTTGCTAAATAAGCATTCAGTTTTATCAGAGACAGATAAAGGTGTCTCTCTTATTACACTGATTGTTGTATGTATTGTGTCAGTTTGGAAATGTCCGGCGCTAAAAGATTAATGCTCTATGTTCAAATGACATACTACATGCTACCCTAAACCTAATCGATTTTAACTAAATGAAATGTGAACAGTGCATTTGTTGAAGGAATGCCATTTTAGCTTGCGTCTACACTGAAAAAAAATGGTATAGGATTTACATTGAAACAACATAACGTAATTGCTAGTAAATTTTGGAAATATTTGCAAAGAAACTGAAATTTTAAAGTGGAAAGGCCAAAATACTATATTTCTTGTAAAACATACTCCAATAATTTTTATTTACAAATGAAAAAAACTCCTCATCCAAAGTGTAACACATTACTAGGTGAGCTACTGAGCAAGTTTACTACAAGAAAGCCGTATATGGAGCTGGTTCTGTGATGCAAATATTAAAATGTATTCATTTTAAAATCATGCATTATGGTAAAAGTGTTTTGTGGTAATAACATAGTATTGTGCAAGGAACCACACAAAAATATGTCTTTATTAATTGATAATATGCCAAAAGTAATACAATTTGTCACTGTTTTATTGCCACTAGTGGACGTTTCAGCTGGAAACTGCAGTGAATTGTATGTATAGGTACATTTTTGGAGTTTTGTACAAATGTAGGTTGGTAGGCACGTTTTCCCAACGAGCCCGTGTTGTGGAATTGGTAGGTTGGTAGAGCAAATGTTGTTATTTAATAGCAATATGGCTAATATTGGATTGTTTCCCAAAATGCATCATTATCGGAAAAGTTTCATTAGTGTTTCATCTGTTTGCTTTGCTAAAGGCATTGTGTTGTGCCCCCCCCCAAGCCACCATGCTGATCAATTACAGTCAGGAAACCCAAAAGATGGAAATCTGTTGGCATAGGCCTGCAGATTAGTTCACTTCACAAATGTTGTCTAACTAATTATCCAGTCATCACATGGCAATGTGCATGCTCCATTAGGCAGATGCTTAAATCATCTTTTACTGTCTCCTACTAAAATTGAGCATCTTTCAAACAGTCCTGTGCGTATTTCCGTATTCCTGTCTAACGCTGTTGTGTCTCCATCCCAGCAATCCATCAATGACGCCATGCGCTGCTCCACGCTGACCAGGATGAGCGGGAATGGTAGCGGCGGGGAGAACGGGCGGATTGTCACACATGACTTCCCCAAAGCTGTGCAGACGCTGCCGTGCATGAGCCACGCGGCGAGCATGGGCCTGGGAGCCTCTGGCATGTGACCATCTTGACGGAGCGGCAC